AGCCTGCCTCTGCTCAGGCTCCGAGCAGTAGGCTCAGGAGACACAGTTAGGCACGTTTGCACTGCCGACCAGCACAGGCAGGCAGACCAGCTGGCCCATGGTGCGGTGACTAACGCCTCGTTAATGGTCACACCCCTTTTGTACCTGGCACGTGCCCTCCATTGTGTGCCTCCAGCAAAGAGCCCACTATCAAGTTCCCCAGGCAGCAGCTACTTGGTAGTCACTGTGGCATGTCGGTCACCATTAATATTTGGAAGATGCCTATGCTCTGCTTCAGGCTGAGGCAAGCACCCCTACCTTCCTGTCATGTGAAGATGCCTGCAGGAAAGGTCACACCTAGGGTTGGTGGACTAGTAATGCTCCCTGTTGTTATTTGGCCTTCAAAATTAAATTTATCTTGGGCCCAAGTGGTTTGCGATTTCTCTGAGTCTCTGCCTGTTTTCTTCTCTGTTCCCTCCTTCCCAGGATACACTGGACATAGTGTGAGACACTTGGGTGCAGAAGTCATGGTCCAGTAGCAGGGCTGGGCGGATAAGCCAGCACCATGATGGTGGGTGTGCTGGGTGAGGGTGAGGACAGATGTGGACAGGAGGTGTGGAGCTCTGTGAGGGCTCGGCCCTGCGCCGGAGGTCCCATGGAGGCCTGTGAAGAAGGGGCGATTGTACTGAGAGCAGAAAGTGAAAGGGGACAGGTGTGTCCTGCCTCTCTGGACAGTGACATTCCCACAGTAGTGTGGGGACTGCAGTTGGCACTATGTAGCCGGGGCTCCTGAAGCTGTTGTCCGAGGGGCAGGGAGGGGCCAGGTCCTGAAGGGCGGAGGACACCAGGAGAGGGTTTTGGGTGGAGAATGGTGACTGGGTGAAGCCCTGAGCAGGCAGGAGGCTGGGAGTGGGAGCTGAATTGCGCTGGAGTCACGTGGAGTGTGAATGTTGTGAGCGTCCCGGAAACAGCTGGGAAGCAGCTGGAGGGATGGGCCTGGACCTCAAAGAAGGATTCTAGGCTCAGGAGAGGGTGGGCTCCATTGGAGAGACAGGCACAGGAGCTGGAGGAGCAGCCGTGGAGAGGTGAGGAGATGCCTGGCAGGGAGGCAGGCGGGATGAGGCCCAAGGCAGCTGGGAGATCTGGCAGCCAGCGCGGCCAGCGGCGGGAGGGCCGGAAGCCGGGTGTCATCTGCTCTTGCCAGCAGCTCGGCTCAGAAGAAAAACGGAGGAGAGGTGGAGCTGGAGCGGAGCCCCCGGCGCTGTGGTTTGCTGTGTTTGGGGCCCGTGTCACAGCACTGGGGAGCCTTGGAGAGAGATGGGGAGCTAGGGTCCCCAGAAGGTGAGAGCCAGGACTGAGGGGGGCCTTGGTCTGTGGTGGGAATGCAGAGAGCTGGGAAGCTCCTGCCTGACAAGCCCCCTTTCTTGGGGTGGAGTGGGTGGGATGGGGCAGCTGTGAGCTGGAGAGGAGACAGTGTCAGTGAAGTGTGCCGCAAAGGCTGCCAGGTGGCACCGGGGGCTGGGCCACTGGAAACCGCTGAGCAGGCGGCAGGACTTCTCCCTCTCCCCTCAGCTGTTCCCGTGCCTCAGGCTGACTTCCTCGTGCCGTTTATCCATATGGCTGAGACAGGAGTGTGGGGTTGGCGGGCGGGAGTTGGGGCTTGGCGTGACGGTCCAGGCTGAGCTGGCAAGAGAGAAAAGCCAGAGCGGCTGGTGGATGGGGCAGTCGCAGCTCCGAGTGGGAGGAGGGCACTGAGGGCTCCAGGACGGGGTATGGGCGGGTTTATGAATGTGCCGCCTCTGGAGTGGGTAGAGTGGTTTTCTGGAATGCCCAGGGACTGGATAAAAAGGTAGAGATGTAAAGGCTTTTAAAGTTCTAGAGGCCACGGAGCTTCCAGCCAGGACTGCGAACTTAGCCCTCCAGGGAGGGCAGCACAGAGAGGAAGGCCCTGAGCCGGAGAGAGAGGAGGTGGGTGGTGATGGCGAGAGCCTGGCCGCTGCTCGGCCCAGAGGAGGAAGGGTACATTCGGGAGAGGACGAAGACTTGGGAGTGGTGTGTTTGCTGTAGAAAATTTCCAGAGCAAGAAGGCAGGTTGGAAGCAGGTGCCGGGGGTAAAAGGCAGATAACAAGGTAAGGAGATGTGGGTGAAGACCGGTGGCTGTGCTCACCGTGGTTAGTGACACTTTCACCATCCAGCCCCGGTCAGACATGGTCCTATAGCTGAGGGTCTCACCAGGCGGTGGGGGCACAGGTCAGGGGAATGGGATCGCCAGAGGAGCATTCTCAAAACGTGCCTGTGCAGGCATCTCCCACCCCTGACATTCTGCAAGAGAGGTCCAGGGGGTGCCCACCCCACATGCAGCGGACCCCTGGTGGTCATCCTCCTCTCAGCATCCCCTCCTCCCCTCCCCACCTCGCCACCCCCAGTGGATGTTTCTGATGGCTGTGGCCTTTGCACATGCCCTCCAGGCTGCCATGCCACAGATCTTTCTGGAATAAAAGCTTGATCTCGCCTCCCCACCCCGGTATTCTGGTGGTGTCCTGTCACTACTGGGATGGGGTAGGGTGCAGGCCTTGTGACTTGGAGCAAGTCTTGTATTTCCCTGCTGCTGAGTGCAGGTCCTCCCCCTGCCGCCCACCCCCCGCCCCCCGCAGTCTGCCCTGCCAACCCCAGCACACTGTAACCACCTCCTAGAAGGGCTTCCGGAACCCCTCCAGCTCTCCGGGGCACGTGACCACCCCGGGGCCTCTCTGCCTCTACACGTGCCTACAAAGCAGCTTTCCGACCTCACTGCCAGGTGATTGATTTATCTCTCAGCTCTTTCTAGCTCAGTGCCAGGCACCTAGGAGGCACTCAGAAGAAGGTGCCAGAGAGAACGGGTACACCTGGGTGCACAGATGAGTCCAGTGGCTCTCTTCCATCGTGGTCCACTGTGCCAGCTCCATTGTTCCAGGGCTGAGGCCTAGGGTGGCGGGGCTATATGGCAGGAGTGTCTGCACTTTGGGACTCTGCCTGGGATTTGTTTGTGTCTTTGAGGCATCCAGTAGATTCTTGGAGGACAGGATTAGGTGTTCCCTGGCCTTTCCCAGCAGGTAGGTGGGAGGCCTGGGCCCCTCATGAAGAAATCAGACTTGGCCTGGACTTGTGAGGAAGGTCCCCCAGTCGGAGGAGGCGTCATCCCCTCCCTGAGGCTGAATGCTGGGGCCACCTCTCCCCTCATGCCTGTCATCCACACCCCACTCCAGGTCTGCTTTTAGGCCCCATTCCCTGCCCCGTCCAGTGTGTTCCTCCAGCCTCCCTCCACCTACTCTCCCAGCACCTCTGTGATGTGAAATACCTATTTGGTCTTTGTCCTTGTTTTGTGACATACAACTCCTGAAATCCTCAGGATCTCCGTGGCGCTCTTTCTGTGCACTGGTGTTGACTGATAGCTTCTGGGTGGCACTGGTCACTGGAAAGACCAAGGCAGGATTAGCGGGTTAGGACTTTCAGCCCCAGCCCCAACCGCAGGGAGGGGGGAGGTCCAGGGGTGGAAGGTCAAGTTGATTGCCAGTGGGGTAATCAATCACGCCTACTTAACAAAGGTTCCATGCCAACCCTAGAGGACAGGACTTGGAGAGCTGCTGGACAGCTGAGCAGGAGGGGGTGCCTGGAGGGTGGCACCGTGTCCCTCTCCCATACCTCACTCTAAAGGCCCCTTCATCTGTGTCCTTTGTAACAACCTTTATAATAAACTAGTGAATGTAAGTGTTTCCCTGAGTTCTGTGAGCTGCTCCAGCAAGTTCATTGAACCCAAAGCCGGGTTGTGGGAACCCCAACTTGAAGTTGGTCGCTGAGAAGTTCTGGAGGCCTGGACTTCTGACTGGTGTCTGAGGTGTGGGAGTCTTGGGGACTGAGCTCCCGACCTGTGGGATCTGACCTATCTCCAGGTAGATGTCTCCATCGTTGGGATTGAATTGGAGGACGCCCCGCCGGGGATCTGAGCTGTCTCCAGGTAGATGTCTCCCTTGTTGGGATTGAATTGGAGGACGCCCCGCCGGGGATCTCAGCAGTCTCCAGGTAGATGTCTCCCTCGTTGGGATTGAATTGGAGGACGCCCCGCCGGCACCCACTGCAGAATGGATTGCTTGCTGCGGGGAGAAACCCCTGCATTTTCTGGGTCGCAAATCCTGTGCTGATTGCTGTGCTGGCGTCAGAGCAGAGGAAAACATGGCATGAGAGTTTTTCCAAACAGTCCGGACAGCTTCCAGGCTCTCTCAGCCACCCCACGCTGTCCCTACCATTCCCACCTGGCCCGCTGCCGCCTCTGCCCCAGGGTTTCCGGGCACTCCGAGCTTCCCTGTCAGGCAGCGAAGCTCTCATCCCTGGACCTTGCGCCTGGGGCTGGAATGCCTGAGCTGCCCTCCCCTGCCTGGCAGGTGTGGTTGGTGCTCAGGAGTGGGCGGGCCCTGCCGGTCTCCCCAGCCCACCAGCAGGTTTCCCCCATATCCCTGCAGCACTTAGCAAGGTCCAGGGTCTTCTGTGGAGAGTGAGACTGTTTTGGATCCTGCCAGGGGAGCCCGCTGAGAGGAGCGTGCATCTCCTATCACGTGAAGCCCGTAGGGACCAGAGCACCTCATTCCTGTGGTCCCTAGCTGTGGGCATTGGGGTTCCCCACCCATGGGTCCCGGCCTCGTTTCCTCTTCCTCTTCACTCCCGGCCCCACTCCCAGGAAATGGTGAGGGATTGCTCAGACCAGACGGGAAGAACTGAGATGAGCGGCAGCTGACGCCCATGCCCTGTTCTGCTGCCCCGTGACTAAGGTCCAGCCACACAGAACGCCGGGTCCTTGTTAGCTGCTGCTGGGACGGGGGCTGTTCCTGTGGCCAGGATGGGTGTGGTAGTCAGGCCAGGGCGGAATGGGGTCCAGGCCTGCAACCCCAGCTCTTCAACCTGGAGTCCTAGCGAACGCTGACCTACATTGGGACAGGGCTGCCTCTTGCCCAGGGGGCTGCAGTTGGCCCCTTGGTGGCGTCTGGGAGTACATGGGGGTGCCCTCTGTGCTGTGGGCCTCGCCCCCAGGGCTCTACTTCCAGCCTGAGCTGCTCTGGCGTCTGCCTAAGAAGCATCTGTATCGAAGCTGGCTCTGAAAACTTCACAGTGGAGCTTCCCTGGGCTGGGATTCTCTGTCGCTTGCCCCGACCTCCAGCATCCCCAAGTGGCCCGGGTTCTGACTCCCACTATCAGGCCACAGTCCGGTGGGATCCAACCCTGAGTGGTCTCTGGGGGTCCCCCAGTCTTCTCCACCCTCCCGGTCTAGACTCTGCCTTCCTTTCTCCCTGGCTTCTCTGTCCCAACCCTTCCTCCTCCAGGGACACCAGGGGGATTTTTGTAAATGCAGATCTGATCAAGTCACCTGCCTACACTCTCCTCCTACCCCGTGTGGGGACACCCGCTCTTAGCCCACCCCAGCCCCTCAGCACTGCCAGGGCTGCCCAGCTCGCCTTTGCCCACTCTTGCCTCTGCGTCTGAGGGGCACCGTCCCCACCCACAGGCTGCCTCCACGCCTTTCCGCCCCTTCCACAGCAGCAGGCACAGCCCTGCCCGTGGGGTTCCCCCAGCACTTCCCGAGCTGCCGCGGTTGACAGCCTCCTCTCAAGCCGTCTCTCGCTGGCACAAAGGAGGCGCTTCAGTCAGTGGAGGTTTGTCATATGATGACCTGTGGGACGAGGGAGCCGTGGTCACATGCTGTCTCCTCCCGTTTGCTGTGACCTGGGACAGGAGAAGTCCCCAGGAAGGGAGGCGCGGTGTCGGGGTTGCCTTTGGCGGTGTCAAAATGTCATCACTGAGGCTAAATGTGTGTTCTGTCTTTGTCACATGAAAGAGAGTGTGTTTTCAAATCCAGTTGTTTGGGAAAATCACATGCTCCCTGAAGAAGTGACGTGTGCAGAGGCCTCATGACTCAGGCTCTCAGGCCTGGAGTTGGGTGTTTGGGGATGGCAGGTGTGTTGCTAGCAGGAGCCCTGCTGGGGTGGCCTGTGTCTCCAGGACCCACAGGAGGGCCCTGGCACTAGAAGTGGCCGAGTGCTCTGGAGTCCCAGACCTTGGTGGGTCCTGCCTGTGCTTGGGGACCCTCTGGAGCCTCTCTCGGAGGTCCTCACTGTCCCAGGATGAAGGGAGATAGAGCAGGAAGTTAACTCATCAGCAGCCAGCAGCTGTGGGGTTGTGTTCCGCCCCAAAGCTGGGGTGAGCTGCTAGTCTGCTGGAGTGGAGGGGCCAGCTGCCCAGTCCGGGCCTCTCCTGCCCCACTCTCCACAGTGAGGATCCACCTCCTGCCACATCCATGCTCCTTCCCACCTGC